CAATGGAGATTATTCAAAACAGACAACAACACAAACAATGTACCTTCAGGCTCCAATCTTTTTATAAAGAAACTAACAAAACTTCAGGCTGAATTTTGTCTTTTCCCCATTTCATAAATCTTTGCTTTTGAATATTGTACTTATTCTAATAAGTGTCACGTTCCTTTACAAACTGCCCATTCATGCTCTTCTTTTTTCTCAAACAATTTCTATACAAGATCAGTTGCAGTCCTTTACAAGGTAGATGTTAAGCCTTTAACAAAATCAACCTCACTAACAACCATTGTATAAAAATGTCTACTGATGTGCTGGACTGACCTTGACCTTTTTGTGATTTTTTAAAAAGCCCTTTTTTGAAGAATGTCTAGATTATGGAGCACTTATTTGAGTAAATACGGTGCATTTGATGATCTAAGAAGTAAACTGCTGTTAATTCTGAAATATTCTACCCAGTACGTAAAACATCTTTTCAGTTAAATCAAATTTGAATTAGACTTCATCATAAAGAAATTGGAGTCAGACAAAACAAAGGAAATAAAACATAGAAATCCTATAAAAACAGACCTTTTTACTAAACAATTACAAGTCAGAATCAGCGGAGGCTGGCGAAAATGAAAACAACGATGTTGGTAGAACCATTTCTTACTGATAGGACATACAAAGTATGACTGAATGACAGAACAAAAACAAAAAACAGAAAATGTGCAGTAGGCCTTATTTACATTGGATTGTATTGAATTAGGAATATTACAAGTAAATTCACTCCTTTATTATCTGTTTTTTCATATCAATTGACAGATCTAGGTTTGATAGGTTTACTCTTCGATATTTCATCTTCAAAATCCATTTTTTCATACCTGTAGGGTTGAATCTAATATTCAACATGGGATCCTATTGTTCTATACAAGAGGCCCATGGGCCTTAACGGTCATCTGACAAAAAGCAAGCCAAACCTAGAAAGTGGGTTGAGGTCATTCATTTGAACAAACTTGGTAGCCTCTCCTCCAAGCATCTTACAGGCCCAATATCAGCACTCATGGACTTTTGCTTGTTGAGAAGAAGTCGTTTGTATATTTTAACATATTTGACCCCTGTGACCTTGAAAGTGGGCCAAGGTCATTCATTTGAACAAACTTTGTAGGGCTCCATGCCAGCATGCTATGGGCCAAGTATTAGCCCCCTAGGCCTTCTAGTATTTGAGAAGAAGTTATTTAAAGATTTTGACATATTTGACCCCTGTGACCTTGAAAGTTGTTCAAGGTCATTCATTTAAACAAACTTGATAGCCCTTCATCCCAGCATGCCACAGGCACAATATCAGCACTCTGAGCCTTTTGGTTATTGAGAAGAAGTTGTTTAAAGATTTTAACATATTTGACCCCTGTGACCTTTAAAGTGGGTCAAGGTCATTCATTTGAACGAACTTGGTAGTCCTTCATCCCAGCATGTCACAGGCCCAATATCTACACTCTGAGCCTTTTGGTTAATGAGAAGAAGTTGTTTAAAGATTTTAACATATTTGACCCCTGTGACCTTTAAAGTGGGTTGAGGTCATTCATTTGAATAAACTTGGTAGCCTTTCCTCCCAGCATGCTACAGACCCAATATCGGCACTCATAGACTTTTGCTTATTGAGATGAAGTCCTTTGTATATTTTAACATATTTGACCCCTGTGACCTTGAAAGTGGGCCAAGGTCATTCATTTGAACAAACTTTGTAGGGCTCCATGCCAGCATGCTATGGGCCAAGTATTAGCCCTCTAGGCCTTCTAGTATTTGAGAAGAAGTTATTTAAAGATTTTGACATATTTGACCCCTGTGACCTTGAAAGTTATTCAAGGTCATTCATTTAAATAAACTTGGTAGCCTTTCCTCCCAGCATGCTACAGACCCAATATCGGAAAGTGGGCCAAGGTCATTCATTTGAACAAACTTTGTAGGGCTCCATGCCAGCATGCTATGGGCCAAGTATTAGCCCCCTAGGCCTTCTAGTATTTGAGAAGAAGTTATTTAAAGATTTTGACATATTTGACCCCTGTGACCTTGAAAGTTGTTCAAGGTCATTCATTTAAACAAACTTGATAGCCCTTCATCCCAGCATGCCACAGGCACAATATCAGCAATCTGAGCCTTTTGGTTATTGAGAAGAAGTTGTTTAAAGATTTTAACATATTTGACCCCTGTGACCTTTAAAGTGGGTCAAGGTCATTCATTTGAACAAACTTGGTAGTCCTTCATCCCAGCATGTCACAGGCCCAATATCTACACTCTGAGCCTTTTGGTTAATGAGAAGAAGTTGTTTAAAGATTTTAACATATTTGACCCCTGTGACCTTTAAAGTGGGTCAAGGTCATTCATTTGAACAAACTTGGTAGAGCTCCATGCCAGTATCCTCTGTGCCAAGTATTAGCCCCCTAGACCTTCTAGTATTTGAGAAGAAGTCGTTTGAATGAAAAGTTTACGGACGGCGCACGGCGGACGGCGCACGGCGGACGACGACGGACGAAGCATGATGACTATAGGTCATCGGACCCTTCGGGTCAGATGACCTAAAAATCTGGTGAAAATCTTTGAAGAACAAGTTTTTTTCCCTATCCAGACCAACCACTTACTCCTTAAGGGACCACATCCTTTGTTTAACATAAATAATGTTCCCCTGGGTCCAGAAAATATGACCTAATCTTGACAACATCACAATGTTATATTACAAAGTAATGTTTTTGCACATGTTTTTATGAATAATTCTTGTTTATAAAAGTCATAATTTGCATAAAAAATCTTTAATAATATAAAAGGTTTGGTCAAACCTTCCACATGCTATCCCCAAACCCCTTCCAATTCATTATAGACTGACAGATAGATGCTGGACCAAGAGGTTGTTACTCAATGGCTGCTATCAAAGACAGTGTTAGATTAAAATGCTGGAACCAAAAATCATACTCTAACCAAACACACTTATCACATACATGACTGTGTCTGGGACAATACTGTGTATAAACAGTAACGCCAGGATCACACAACCATGAGATGATGTTTGTACACAATATTTTTTTTTACATATATACTTTTGTTTATCCTGATGTCACCCCACACTTCTGTTGTTGTAACCTCATACCTGTAGATACTACCTACGTAGGTGTACCAAGCATAAATAAGATGTATAAATGGTGTAGGGATAATGACATGACACAAACCTGGGTAGTTAAGGTGTATGACCTAGATTAAGTGCTATATTGCCTTTCAATCTGTGACTAACCTACACCTGTGTAACTATCACAAAAAAACACCCATAAAATCCATAGATGTGACATGGACCACTCCCAGAGTTAATTCTTAGTACAAACATTCCAAACCAGATAAAGATGAATAGCTAAGAGCATTTTTTATCTAAACTAAAAAGATTGAAACAGGACAGAATCTCCAAAACAAGACAGGCACAAATTTTCCCTCATCATAAAACAACACAGATTTCTATACAGATTATTAATAAGTTGTTGTTTTCTCATAATTTACTCATTTTTTTGCAAAATATGTCTATTATTTGCAACATATGAATGGTCAGAGTAGATATATATACTATTGAAAACACATACTATATGTTAGGTAAAGTTGTCATCACTATCTTTGAATACCCTTCACCTTACCAAGCAATTCTGACAATGAAAACTGGATTTTATGTCTAACTTTTAATTTGTCCCTTACACATTGACATTTTCAGGGACATTACATATATCAGTGTTGATATGGAAAGGACACAAGTGCTTAAATTTCCCAATACTGCAAATCTGACCTCCACACTGACTTTAACAATTAGAATTTATGTATACTTAGACTAAGCAATCCCCTTCACATATAATCTTGAACGATTATAGTGCACAGAGCCATCTTTCCCTAGAGTCTCATGATGTCCAGTGTTCTTAAATCACACTTCAACCAAAATGTTTGCATGAAACATTTGATCCTTGTCTCTGATCATTTGATCCCTTTGAGTGACCTTGACCTTGAGGTAGAACACTGTAGATTCTTTGCCATTTTTATATGAATTTCCACATTACCTCTACAAATGTTACAGTTAGGAAGTTGACAATAACTTTGGAACTTGGAAAATCAAAGATGGTATCTGACACACTGTGTTTTATCTGCATTTGCAGTTGTTAGTAAACAGGGTGTGTGAGGATGTATGTACATGAACATATATATATATAAAACTTCTTCTAGAAAGAGCTTTCAGAAATTTATTGAATTAGTGAGAGATTATCAAGTAACATGTTTTCATAATTGCATTTTGAGATAACGAAATATTTATAAGAAACGATGAGAAGGATTTCTAAGTTCCAGAGAAATCTGTTCTAAATCAAAACAACATATAGTTACAGAGAATCCCATTTAATTAATAAGTGGAAAATTTAGATATCAAAGCAATGATGAATTGGACCATAAACCAGAGTACCAAGGAATAGTCTTCCTACAACCAAGGGCAGTCACTCTATATTTATTTTCAAATTTCCTGGGTATTACTGACTATTCCAATGCATGAGTAAACACATAATGGCTAGGATCATGCATTATACAGGTAAATCCAGCTTAACTAAGAACACGAGTACAGAGGAGATTACAAACAACTCTCAGACATGTTGCGATTGAAATATGTGGATTGGGGTTATTGCTGAAAAACAGACTTTGTCTTTATTATTATGAACAATGAACAGATGTACACATTTACATATATGTCATAACAGATAATAAATACATTGATATGCAGTGATGATTCAGATAATGAAAGTTTCAGTTAGCCTGTAATTTATTCATATTACAAAATGAAAATTGATATAATCTAATATTATTTAAAGTTTTCATTTACATTTCTGAATATGGACTCTTTGCATTTGTAATTCACAATCTGATCATAACTAATACTACAACAGATGTCATAAAAATTTTTAATTATACATCTTTGTCATTTCCATGTAAGTAATTTTAATATTGTGAGTCATACACACCTGATAAGCCCTTATAAGGGCCTGGACGGATAAATGATCAGTGATTTCTTTCTCCCCCAAAGCCCCTGGTTGCATGCCTGTGGCTCCCGCAGGAATCATGCTCCCACCGAGGGCAGGGGGTCTGGCATAGGCCTCTCCTGGCTGGGCACCTTTAGAGACCATTTTAAAATGGGAGTCCCATGACTGAAATGAGGAAAAAATCATTGAAATTTAGATAACTTTTATATCAAATATTTCTTTTTCCAGTCCAAAATGCCATCTTCCATATTCATTTTAGGGTTGTTGTGATGTCTGTAAATCTACTAAATCTAATGAGAGACAATAAAGTGATTCATAATGTGAACTACTGGTTAATACTGAGACTGCCCCATCCAGTACAATAACCCTTCTGTTCATAGCACAACACTATAATGGTCATGTGACAGTAATTTCACTCGTATTTTTAATTTGTGACATTTTCTCATCTACACAACTAATTACATAACCATGGCCTTTAATAAATTGTTGAGAAGATGTCTAATTCAAAACAAATCAAAACCTACTTTTTCAAATGTTTCAAATGGAACCAAAATCTCACATGTAAACCAACTTTTGTATCAGTTATCATTAAATGTGAAATTCAGGTTTTCCCCTTAAATATTCATCAACATGTTTTGTACAAGCTATGTTCAGGTCTAAATGAGAGTGTAGGCAATGTTGATACATTAGCCATATGTTTGTTAACTATTTTTGGCATCTACCGTATGATTACTATATATGTTACAATTTATTTGGTATTTACTTTCAGGTTTCAGAAATACAAACTGAAGTGAGGTTTCCTGCATATGTTAACACAGATAAGACAAAATTAGATTCATTTCTGGGTCTAATTAATGTTAAATTACATGACACATAACTCATTTCTTATCCATGTCAAGGTGTCACCTCTAGGTCACCTTCATGACCTTGTTACCCAAGACAAATACATTTACATTAATAATGTAGGAGTTCAAGAATCTACATTATTGTCTCTATCTACAATGTTTATTTTAGTATGTAATGACGAAGGTTAACTTTCTGACATGTTCTTAGTTGTATTTTACTGCAATAAGCCCAGGGCTGGGATTATTACGGGACAATGTTATGGTATTAGTTCTGTGTGTGAGGGTATGTGTGAGGGTGTATGTGTTGATGGGCGAGAGTATGTATGAGTGAGGGTGTTAGTGGTGTTTAAGTACTTAAATATTGACCGTATATAAAACAATTTGTCTTTATATAAATATGTATGTGTGTATCTGCAAGGGAGAATGAATAGTGACTATGTATGAAACAATTTGTTTATACAGAAACATGTATGTGTGTACATGCAAGCAGAGACATATGTGTGTTATGTATGTCTTTGATGCAAAAGAGAATGAAAAGTGACTGTGGATGAAACAACTTGTTTATAGATAAGTATGTATGTGTGTATGTGTATGAAACAGTTTGTTTATGTGTGAATATAGTTGTTTTTGATTGTTGTGTGTATGAGCATGTTTTGCTTGAGATATACAAACAATTGCTACTATAAGAGCTGTCATGTGTGCAAAGGTGTGTGTGGGCTTGCATGGATGAGCAATAGGCTGTTTCATTGTATATTCCCTCTCTGTATCAACTCATTGTATTGAATAAAATGATAAATTACAAAAAAAAATAAAAAAATGTTATGGTATTAGTTTACGATTTCACCAAACAGTAATATATACGGGTGTTTTTTTTTATACAATGCATAGGGCAAAGTCCAAACTAATTTAAACGTGGATTGACTGACAACCCAGTACCATGTCTCTCTTGTTATTTATTTCGGAACAGTCCGAGACCACAGTATAAAAGCAAGAACATTTAGTTATCAATGAATTCTAAACTTTTTTAATGTCCATGATGACAAGAAGAACTCAATGGTTGAACATCCGGTCCAGTAGTGTTTCATTGTTTGTTTATCAGAACTTTGTCAACAGCTTCAATATTGATTAACAGTTTGAATGACACAAGATTTCCATTATTGTAATCATGATCAAATATTTGCTCTTAAGGAGATGACAAAACAGGTCCTTAAAAATTTTAATTAACTAAGGGCTGAAACAAAATATGAAAATATTTTACACTAAACCAAATTTCCTATATAGATTAATATTTTGGCACCCGTGAGTATAGCTCAACATGTTTTAAGATAAGGCTATCAACAGATTAAAATTAAATAATGTTACCAAAGGTTACTCTATCTGTGCCATTGAAGGAGATTACAGACTATACATGGTTGTAATTAAACAGTATCTTGCTTGTTGCAAAGTTTCAAATTAATGAAATTTTATATTTTCTCTTGTTTACATGTAGTTCTATTTTTTGCAGTTGATTGTGGGAACCATTGTTTTATGTGTAAAAATTAATCATTTATAAAATTATGAAATTAATGTAATATAATGTACATGTAAATACAGTATGCCTATGTATAAACCCTGGTTATGGCTGATGTCATCTACCGTATTTACTAGTCTTGTTGAAGTCAAGTGTCAAATTTATCAAATCTATTGCCAATGGATGTGTCAGCATAATAGTCAGTTACATGGTCGTCTTTTTTACAAATCTAGTCATAGCTCAAGGCCCTGTCAGCATAATGGTCAGTAAGTTTTTTTTTTCAAATCTTGTCATGGCTCCAAGGTCTGTCAGCATAATGGTCAGTAAGTTTTTTTTTCAAATCTAGTCATGGCTCAAGGCTCTGTCAGCATAATGGTCAGTAAGTTTTTTTTTACAAATCTAGTCATGGCTCAAGGGTCTGTCAGGATAATGGTCAGTTAGTCTTTTTTTACAAATCTAGCCATGGCTCAAGGGTCTGTCAGGATAATGGTCAGTTAGTGAATTACTTATCATGACATAAGGGTCTGTATTAAGGGCAATGTTTATTGAGTGATTTTATCAAGTCTAGTTGTGTTTCAAAGATCTACCGCCTACATACTAGTAGGAGATGGTGAATTTATTCAATCTTGTGACTTGTCATGGTCCATGAATTTGTTTAGCGTGATGACTGATGTCACTGAATTCATTAAAACTAGCCATGGCCCATCATTTTAGTTAGGCTGTTGTTCATGGTGATTGAAGTTGGTAAATTTGTCAAAATTATTCCATCGCCAAAGTACTGGTATTCTGCAGTATAAATGCTTTTTGTATTTAACAATTTAAAAAGCTAAAAATAGCATTGGACTACACATTCAAAATGGTGTTCAAAGTACAACCTTATCAATGAATGTTATCAATATATCATTGGTAATTTCCAAAAACATAATTCCTTATATATTCTTGACGAGATAGCTGAAAACAGATTAATTCACCTGTAGACCTGGTATCAATGGTATGTGAAACATGTATTACAGAAACTACCTGGTCTAGCATCAATGTTACCTATATTTCCGAGAAATTTCTTTTCAACATTTTAAGCACAAGACATTACTGGTCATCATATACATATGAATGCTTGCCTCGTACATTAGCAATGACTGTAGGTGCTCTGCTTGTTATTCTCCATTAAAAACAAATCAACCTGTTACTAATGATTGTTGTCATTTTGAGAAACAAGAAATCAAAAATTGAACTTTAAGTTTAATTTGAATTTTGGTTGTTAATAATAGTCACCTGGCAGCTGTTTCATTGTGTTGTTAAACACATATCTTCATATGAATACTTAGCAAGTAAAATATTACAGAGTATGTAACATAGAAAAATCCCATTACAGTTTTCAAATTAAAGTAGATGTGGATTTGTAGACATGTCTATACACTGTAGTATGCTCAAATTTACAGCTTTAGGAATAGACACTGATGAAAAGGTTTTAGGTTAGTTATACAGATTCTTTCTGATATTTTGTCAACATTGAGTTTTGTATTTATTCACAATATGGTACAAGTAAAAGTGAACAATCTAATCACAGCACTAACCTTGAAGTAAACTTAGTGGGTAATCACCCGTCAAAAACAAATATTGATAGAGGAACTTTATTAGTAACTGATATGTAATTAATTCATGGCAATTAAGCTAGACATATTGGGTGAATGCGTAGAAAATATATGATAAATTGAAACACTTTAAACTTGAAATGTTTTGGTAACGCTTCAGATTTCAAAGTAGAGGAAATTCTGAAGTAAAAACTAACTTAACTAAAGCGAATCAGATATAATTAAAATTATTAACTGAAATATTTAGATGTAATTTGTACATCTTAATAAGTTAATACAACTTTTAGTATCAACCCACTACTTGGTAAATCATTCTGAACATTTCACATCACTGGTACCTTATGCACACTGTTGGTATCCTTAAGCCATGAATTGTACATTTCCTCAACATAAGCGGATGAGGTGCCATTGAGGAATGGTTCTGCAGCAGCCTTGGTCGCATATTTTCGAGCAGTCGGACCTCGGCCAGTTTGACTGTCTTTTGAATTTGAAGAAAGTTGGACCTGTGAGCATGGTCTACAATATTGCAGAACTTTTGTAGATGTTGCTGGCCTTGTAAGGCCACAACATATAGTCTTCACGCGATACATCACGTCCTTTTTATGTCGAAATGTTTTGAATTATGACACAACTTTGAAAAGATCCGACGATCCAGCCTGGCGTTCACACTAACGCACCTTGTTTCGACACATAAACACTCCTTTTCTATAGTGACCTTGTCAGAAAGGTGCAGATGACCTCCCCTGGGAAATACTACAAGTCAGGCAGGAAAATATCGACGAAGTGAACAGAAAGTCTATCAGTTTGATTAACTTTCTAATATATCAGCCATGTTACTTCGTAATCTTGATGTAATTCGTTGTGAACAAACTGTCATGGAATGATTCACACCAAATATTATGAAGGTGTCCTCGAAGATCGAGTAAGAAGATGGCGACTGATGGAAAACTTCACTTCTCGGTCCTGTAAGTAAACAGTTTTAAGCGTTATCAAGAGGTATAAAACTATATGCTTATATTAAATTAATAGCTCAATATATCTTAAATGCATACAAAACCGAGCGATTTATAATTTTGTGTACTTACGTCGGAAAAGCCCTGTGTTTTCTTATGCCGAACAGCCAGCTGTTAAGATATTGCTTATGACGTCACTACCAAACGTGTAATTTGTAACACGGGATTTGATTGGATGACACGGAGTTACCCTCCAAAAAGGATTTCCAATGGATATCCCCATTACTACATATGAAAAGTGGGGTTCAATACGGGTATTATCGACCGACTTTTTTTTCTGATACTTATTTTCGTTGTTATATCACAGATTTTTGTCATACTTAAACTTCAAAATATTTAAAATTCACAACACTTAAGTTTTACGTTTTTTTTTTCATCCTTTGTCGAATGATAATAGCGTGAAGATAAAATCAAATCATAAAAAAACGGAAAAGATTTTTTTATTCAATAATTTTCCTGTTGTCCAATGAAAACGATTTCAGTTGAACTGCTTTTTAAATTCGTACAAGGCATACACCACACAAAACATGCGTGGTGTAACAGTTGAATGATCAAGTATCAAAGTTGCCGTATCTTTTTTTCTATCTAGTATTTACACGTGTCATTCTAAAGATAGTAAATATATTTACTTGAAGAGTCCTAATCTCCATCCTGAATAAATAAAGCGAGTTGGCCTTTCTCGACATTGATGAAATAAAATGAAACCCCGATTTTTAAAAACTTCACGATATCACCTTCCGAAAAGAATATCATATTACGTAATATACCAGGCACACCTATTGTATAAGGATTTCGTGGTTGGGGCCAGTTTCGGAGATTGAATATCATGTCAAGTGGAGAAGGTGATATGAAACGTGCCTGATTTGATTTAAACATATCTTAGTGTACATAGGTAGCAATAGGATTGGGCACACGTTGTATAACTTATGAATAGGGAAGGGAGGGGGGAGAGAGAGAGAGCGGAGGAGGAATAGTAAATGGCCAAGAACAGAGCCTTGAGGCACGCCTGCATTTGTTGTCTTAACAGAGGCTTTACTATTTCTAATAAGAACTTGTTTTTATCTATTACTGTCATAATTCATTATCCAGTCAAGTAACTTACCTGTTATCCCATAATCAGTCAATTTCACTCTCAGTTCCCTATGCCACACGCAATCACATGCCTTAGAAATGTCACAAAATACTAAACAGGTAGGCTGATTATTTTCAAGGTTGACAAACATATCATAATACATTTCAATTAGCTGATGTAGAGTGGAATGTCTTGGTTGAAAACCTGACTGAAATTTGTGAGTGAGTGAATTATCTAAAATGTAGTTATGTGAAAAAAATTGCAGTTAGCCTTTCTAAAACTTTACCAATGACACTGAATAGAGCGATAGGTCTGTGATTTGAAGAATAGTGCTGGTCACCTTTTAAAACAATGCGTCACCTTTTGAAAAAATGCATCACTAAAGCATGTTTCCCTTGTTTGGGGGAAGGATCCAGTTTCAAGAGATGAACGGAAGATTAAAGAGAGAAGGTAAGCAACTGTATTTGCTGTGTATTTTAACATGCTGTGACTGACGGTGAGAAATCCTTCATATTAGCAACATCTGATAAGATCACGTAACTATTATCTTCATCATAGGTAGCAAATTAATTTTTTTGTAAAAAATAGTTGTAAAATTCATTTATTGATATTTTACTTTGATGCGAGTTTGATTAACCCGATAACTTAGTACATCCCAAAGATATTTCAGACTGTCTTTCATAGAATTTCTTATTTTCTTTTCGTTGTCAACTCTGAAACTTTTATGTGTTTGTTTACTACCTTGTTACATTTTACGACTTTTAAATCTCTTTTGTTCACATCATTTTTATGTGTACAATAATTATCTTTAGCTTTATGAAATTCTGTACGAGTTTTGTTACAATATGCCATAAATCATGGTCTGCTATTTTAATCACTATTTCGTCAGCGGTGTACTTTGTAAACAGTTTTACGTCAGAATGATTTCTTGTCAGCGACAGTAAATAAATGATTGATAGCTTTCAGCTACATCATCGATTTCATCATTTGATATTTCATCAGGTTGTTTCGATTTCACTTTCTTCTGATAAAGAAAGTAGATAATCTTGATCAGTTGAGGTAACATAAGTAAAATAGTAAAAAACTGCCTTCATCTGTTAAATCGTTGTGTTTATTGTTAACACGTGTGTCCGCACAGTCTGATATAATCTCTCTCCTGTTATGAACATCAGATAGTACGGTGAACATCAGATAGTGCGGGATTAAAATCTAGAACTTTAAAATTCTTTTCGGTATGTTGATCACGTTAGTCAAATTGAAGGAGATTATTATTATTACATAATACCAGAAAGTCAACATTGATATCGAGTTTCATTCAAAGCTGTTTCAATTGAGAAACGAAGGAAATCCTAAACAGTGTGAGGACTATTTGGAGGTTTGGATTCAAGGCATTTTTACTTAGAATCCGGACCTCCGCCCAAACAACTTCACCGGAAAGAAAATGCAACGACACGTGCACAGGAGACTGAAAGTGTAAACATTAATCCCCTCAGCTGGAGTTCCATGGTCTTTCCGGTACATATTAAAGTCCTCTAATAGTATGTAAATCAAGGTGTAAAACATGTCACTGTGGATAAACGTGATATTTCGAGTGTATTACAATCAGTAAGAAACACTGCCACCTTCATCGGATTATCCTAGTCTATTCTAGTCCATTCTAGTCCTAGTCCACTCTAGTCCATCCTAGTCTATTCTAGTCCATTCTAGTCCTAGTCCACTCTAGTCCATCCTAGTCCATTCTAGTCCATCCTAGTCCACTCTAGTCCATCCTAGTCCACACTAGTCCATCCTAGTCCATTCTAGTCCATTCTAGTCCTAGTCCACTCTAGTCCATCCTAGTCCATTCTAGTCCATCCTAGTTCATCCTAGTCTATTCTAGTCCATTCTAGTCCTAGTCCATTCTAGTCCATCCTAGTCTATTCTAGTCCATTCTAGTCCTAGTTCACTCTAGTCCATCCTTGTCTATTCTAGTCCATTCTAGTCCTAGTCCACTCTAGTCCATCCTAGTCCATTCTAGTCCATCCTAGTCCTAGTCCACACTAGTCCATCCTAGTCCTAGTCCATTATAGTCCATCCTAGTCTATTCTAGTCCTAGTCCACTCTAGTCCATCCTAGTCCATTATAGTCCATCCTAGTCCTAGTACACACTAGTCCATCCTAGTTCATCCTAGTCCTAGTCCACTTTAGTCCATCCTAGTCCATTCTAGTCCATCTTAGTTCATCTTAGTCCTAGTCCACACTAGTCCATCCTAGTTCATCTTAGTCCTAGTCCACACTAGTCCATCCTAGTTCATCTTAGTCCTAGTCCACACTAGTCCATCCTAGTCCATCCTAGTTCATCCTAGTCCTAGTCCACACTAGTCCATCCTAGTTCATCCTAGTCCTAGTCCATTCTAGTCCATCCTAGTTCACCCTAGTCCTAGTCCATCCTAGTCCACTCTAGTCCATCCTAGTCATTTTCCATCCTAGTCCATCCTAGTCTTTTCCACCCTAGTCCATCCTAGTTTATCCTAGTTCATCCTAGTCCTAGTTTATCCTAGTTCATCCTAGTCCCAGTCCATCCTAGTTCATCCTAGTCCTAGTCCATCCTAGTCATTTTCCATCCTAGTTCATCCTAGTCATATTCCACCCTAGTCCATCCTAGTTCATTCTAGTCCATCCTTTTCATATTCCATCCTAGTTCATCCTAGTCCTAGTCCATCCTAGTTCATTCTAGTCCATCTTTTTCATATTCCATCCTAGTTTATCCTAGTTCTTGTCCATCCTAGTTCATCCTAGTCCATTCCAGTCCTAGTCCATCCTAGTTCACCTAGTCATACTCCATCCTAGTTCATCCTTGTCCTAGTCCACATTATTCCCTCCTAGTTTATCCTAGTCATATTCCATCCTATTCCATCCTAGTCCATCCTAGTCCTAGTCCAGCACATTATTTCCCATCATATTGTATATTACATTATTCACTACTATCTCGTACACTGTTTTCCTCTGTACTGTTAGGCTTCACACTGGTTGTAATATAAGAAAATCTACTTTGATATACATTACAAACCCGAAAAATGTACAGAGGTATAACAGCACGTGATATCGTTTAATTCAACAATAAAAACAATAAAAATACGCATTCTGTATGGACCAAAGAAGAAGGAGAAGAAGAAAAAACAAGAACAATAAAACAACAATAACAACACAACAATAACAACAATGTAATTTGTATCTAAACCAACCAAACTCCTCCCTTGATACGTATGTAGTCCCCCCCCCTCACACACACACACACACACACACACACACACACACACACACACACACACACACACACACACACACTTTTCCTTACCCTCTATCTACTAAATATCAGTAGACACCGTCTTTACCAGACCTTAACTCTCTTAAACCGGTTGTAGTCCCGATAATTAAAGTATATATTTCAAATTAAACAAGAACTGTACTTAGATTTACGCATAATAACTTCCTGGTCTTTATAGAAAAACAGAATTGAAAGAGAGTTTGTGAACTGCAAAGTTATACAAATTCAGAACGAAATGAAATAATCCTTTAGACAAGTTAAAAATGTTTCAAAGTTGTAATAAGCTTCGTGTCGACAAATTTTAATCTTATAATGGTCCATACCTATAAGTCTGCATATACTACATATATATATATTACTATATTTACATCTATACAACATTCAGATTTTTAAACACTTCTTTCGATAACGCATGCGTTAGTCCTATGTCAATGTTGTTTAATACAAACAAAAACATGGTGACAAATTTGTCGTTTAGTGCGGAAATAATAAAATTTTAAGTTGTTGTGGTCAATCTACAGGTTTTCGGAGAGCTGAGTACATGAACACTATAACCACTATTTGACATTTGGCTTTACTGGTTAATTCTGAAATGTTTCCAGAGTACGTATCCTGTATATATCGACCAATATATGGCCTTCAAACTTGGTGTAGACACGCTTCAAATGAGTACATTTTGTAAGTTGTGAAATGTACAAAAATTGTATACTACGTCCTTAGTTTGACCTTTAACAATAACCCAAGTACGTTCACATCGACAAAATGATCGCCTTCCGGTGGGAAGAGAAAATACTTCGACCTCGGCTTGTTCTTTGACCTTGAATTATACTAACTAAAGTTTTTTTTGCTGTCTTACAGGATCACGTGCGTCTGTTTATATGTCGGCTCCCCTTTGTCCTGTTGGCGCACAAGATAATTATACTTTGCTAATTGGAAGTCGCGAGTCAATTATTGTTTTTCAAATAAACAAATATACACCTAACTATTGTCTTTTAATTTTAGATATTCACGAGACATATATCTTGTGTAACATAATTATGGCAATGCACTGTAAGTGGACAAGACATGTACAGAGTCCGGTATTACTGTGTGATTTTTGCTATGTGGCTTTTGTATGTTTGTTTTATTTCGTTTTTCTCGAATAGGTAACAACAAACATGCGTGCGATGTCCTACATTGTGTGTATTATATCATCGTATTTACAAATCGAGAAACAATTACAACAATAATTTGGCTAAAAAAATTAAAAAGATGAAAAACAACAAAAAAATTAAAGACGAATTCATACAATAACTAGAAAATGAGTATATATCTATGTAAAATATATTTTATGACGAGAGGTATTTAACAAGAAGGATCATAGTTTCTACATACAGTCACGCATTTCACAGTTCATCTGATATGCTTTTCAAGCTAATGCAGGATCAGTATTATACCTTGATAAACACTATTGTCGTGCTTTCTGTTATTTTCTACGTACCGGAAGTGGGACACAACGGGTCATTGTCTGATGCCCGCTCTTTATCGCAAAACAAAATTCTTCTGAAAAATTTTAAAAATAAATGAGGAGGTTTTCGTCTCGGGTATTGAAGTTCAGTGTACCTAAATACAAGAATAACGCCGAAGTTTTGCATGGTATTTTTCATATCCTGGTGAGGTATGGCATTGAAAGGAAGTGAATTTAGAAAACAATAATTTTGTCTTTTACAAATTTACTGCCATTGTTTTCGGAACCATTTAATTTTGTTTCAATTGTTTGTGAAGGTATTAACAATTTCCGCCCCCTCGCTTCAGACTTCAGATTGTGATAAATATCGAAAAGAAAAAACTGGAAAAATAACTATAATTTTCATATTGATCAATATTAGGGTGAAACAAGTTTAAAACAGTTGGTCACACCCCTTGTATTGGTCACTGCGATCAGGAGTGTCAAAGCCCAAACTGACAGCCACAGGTCGTAATAAATGGAGAAGGTGTAGTCAATGAATTTATTACATCGTCAAACGACTTCTCCATGTCCATTGTTGTTAATAGTTGTGAGAAACAAGTAAAAGTCCTCTCCACTGACGTAAGTTGCTGACCGGTATGACCATTTGAGTAGCTGAGTGAGGATGTGGATATACGTAAAATATAAGTAATGCATTATTCCAGACTTTTATAACAATGAGGCCTCAATACATCAGTTAGTTCTGTAAGTCTGAAATTTCTTGGGTTTTCCGGACGTACGGGAATTTGTATCATCTAATTGACGTCATATTTGACGAGGTACATATGTCAAACTATAAATGGACATCGACAAAACAATAATTTCCAAAGACAGCATTGGCTAGGAGTTAGAGCACAACGACAGCATTGGCTAGGAGTTAGAGCACTATGGACACATCCATGTACAGAAAATAATTAAAAGCAAACGAGCGTGGCTGGTGTTACAGAAAAAGCATACCTTATTTTAACATCAAATTCTTGCATCGAAACGGATTTAGCTTAATGGCAATGTCGTCCATAGCCTTACTGAAGGCCGTCACGTCAGGACGTTCTCGACAAGTTCGTCTCTTGCTGGATTCAGGTTCGTGTAATGTGGATTTTGCAGACGAGTGCGGACAGACACCGCTTATCAGGGCGATATTTATTGACATGGAATCAAGTCGGGATACGATTATCCGTATATTGTTAAAACATGGCGCCACGGTCGGTAAAACTGATGTTGTAGGACGGGACGCACTCGCGTGGGCATGTCTGTACGGACGTGATGCCAACGTTGAACAACTCCTTGATCACACTGAAGGTGAACTGGATTTAAACAGACCGGATGTCAACGGACAGACGCCACTCTTTCACGCGGTCACTTCCGGAAATGCGTCCACAGTTAAGTCGATGGTAGAGGCGCTGTTGAAATACGGGCTTTCCGTCGACGTACAAGATTTCTTTGGTACGTCGCCCCTTATGCTCGCCATGCGGCTCAACCACGACGTCTGTGCGAGTATTTTAATCCGAAACGGCAAGGCCAAGGTTGGACTCGGGGTGAAATATCCGAATGATTTCAACAGAGCGGAAAAATGGGCAGTTCAAACTATGAGAAACAGACAGAAAACGAATAGGTCAAATTTCTCGCCCAGAGTTTATCCCTCAGAAAGACCCCAAATGCCACGTCATGGCCAGAGGAACAGTTTGGTCAATGGTCAGGTTGCCAAGCTACAACTTCCGCCAAACTCCGACTCGGAGTCGGATTTATCAGAAAGCGAAGATTCAGAGGTCCTTTCTATATACACTTCCGGTCCGGAGACAGACGATATGTTCAAATATTGTATGAAGTTTGCTCCAAAGATATCCATTCCCCCGTCTATACTGGCTGTCAGCCCTTCATCAAGCACTGTCGCCAATGCTTCTAGTAGTGACGAAGTCGACACTTATTCTACTCCGTATAGTGACCCTAAACTGGATCAGAATAAGAACTGTCTAGGTCAACTTTATGGATTAGTTCAGGACCAAATGGCAACATCCTACCGACCGACGGCGAAACCATTATCGTCGTCCCCATCTCCTTCTCTGAACCAGCTGGAGTCTGAGCGGAGTGAAGTCAGCAACAGGTCCACGAGAGGAGGTAAAAACACGTTTAAATTGCACGTTTGTTTCATTATTTATAAAGTATACAATTTTCACCGTAATGGGCAATACTGGAAGTCCAAATGAGGCGCGGCGGGACAAATTATGCATAAAATTCGAGCTATTTAGTATACTTTGCACAAAGTTTTGCAAGAAGATTGATTTACCAGATGTATTAAGCGCCGCGCCTCGCTCCGCTAAATACCGATAACCAAAGAACGCATGGAGTATTTCATGTGAAAAATTGAATACAGCTTCGAAATACAAGAGTTCCAAGCTTTTAAAAATCAAAATCTCTGTACACAACAAATCAATAACGTAAATAACTGATTGCGTATCCAAAGAACTGCTATCATCACGGTGATTGGCCACTTTAATCTGCCGGGAACCAATCAAATGATTTATAATCGTGAAACTTCAGATATTTTCCACCAGAAGTTGTTTTCTCTTTCCGCGAGCAAATTTTGTTTAGGCGAAGATAGATAGATAACACACTCCCGAATAATTCAAACGACAAAATAAGATGGACCGGGGTTTCGAAGATGTCCTTTATATTGGACAGAGTCTCTGTAATGTTACATTCATTCAGGGATATATGAGTTTTCTGTGTGTTTTAAAAAAAATCCCCGAGTTCGAATTATTGAATTTATTATAACGAGGACAATAGGAAATTGTTAGGGACCAGAGATCTACCTCTAGTTTAAGTGATTTGCGAATTAGAATTTGTACGACTGCCTTTCAAACCGTAAGTTTTGTAAAGAGACATGTTCCCAAATTCCATTTTCACGTTTATTACAACGTGTACATGTATATCTTCGTGTTGTATGAAAAGGAATCCATAACATTTTTTACTTTCAGTAAGAAAAGGAACCGACAAAATGCAGAGATCAAATAACATGACTTTAAAACATCAGACCATCGGGATGTCATTTGAAGTGACACCGCGAGGAACGCCATTATCAGATTCAAGAAACTTCCCCTCCCCAATACAGAGAGGAACCACATTTCCCCTTCTTTCGGACAGACGGACAGATCTTGTGAACTGCAGAGATAAAAACATGGAGAGAAATTTCCGAACTGGTCACAATAATTACTCTCTCATGTGATAGCAGCATTCTTCATCCTTTCGCCCACGGTTTTCGTTTTCTTTTACTTACGCCCAATGAGACTGATGGAATGGACAATGTGACAACATGTTAACATTACCATTTTTTTTTTGTAAATCCTGTGTGATGTTTGTGGAATCGAAAATCAGACCTGAATACTACTTATCAATGATAGTATACTACAGAATGCCCATTTGAAACTAGAATGATTTCGTGACAGAATAATTTTGCTACTCTAAGGGATATGTCATGTACAAAACAGTATCACGTTTTAATTAATAGAATATGTCCGATTGAAAAACGTTCTGCTATATTTTGCTTTTGTTTCAATAAAGTCGTAACCGTATTCTTGTAAACGTATTTTGGACAAATTTTTAGCCGACACGGATTGGGGAGGAAGGAAAAAGGGAGGACGGAAAAGGGGAGGAAGGATAGCGTTTCCCGTTGTCGAATATCTGTTAAAAATGGCCGGGTAGTCATACTCATTTACAGGGAGTATAGTATCCTTTCACCTTCGACAGGTTTGTTACTGATGGACACAATGTTTAAAAGTATACTGTAACAGAGGAAATTACGATGAGTCCACCATCTTCGTATTGCATGGTATACGCTGTTACTCAGAACAAAGCTACATTTAATGCAATGACGCTGCCATGGACAGTGGATACGTTCGATCAATTATATGATGCTTGCCAAGATACCGTTTTGTAACAGAAAGTTCATCTTGTTAAAAAAGCGACATGGAAATACCATCATGTAAACGTAATCATAATCCAAACTAGAATTCAATAAAACCACGGCAAAATATGAACAAAAGAAAAGATTTACACGGTGACTCCTTAAAAAGTGCAAGGAGAATAAGATTAGGTGTTCTGGAAAAGTAAGCGTCTTCTGCTTCATCGACGACACCCGCCATGTAAATCTTGGTCAATCCAAATAAGTAATGTCATTCTCTCAAATGAGAACAAGGTATACAGCAACGGTAACAACGGACAAACTAGCAAGATTAAACAAGCCAAGCTTCATATCGCAGGAAGTATTAGATTTTTTTATACGAGATTAATTTTGGCGACCGGAGAAAACATTGATTGATTCTGCAAGAAAGCGGTAAATAAATTCCATCATCCCCACAGCAGTAACAGTTTCATTCATGGGATACCGCTAATCTGTATACTTCACGCTTGACAACAAAGAAAATATATATTTCAATCTAATTTCATCGATCTCTTGTTTAACATTGGGCATACCATGTCAAATGGAAGAAAATGAACAAAATTATTAGATTTCAACACTGTCTTTGTTAGTTAGTAAAAGTGATCTTTTTTATAAATGGCTTACCACATGGGTTGGCATCAACTGTGAAGCCCGTGATTTCTTATCGATTTCCGGTTCGCTTGTGTTCCTCCCTTCAAGTAACCTTTCGTTTTCGTGCCTCTTCTATTTCCACTGTAGTCTTTCTTCATTCTGGTGTGTCCGCGATCCGTTGTAATGTTCTTTGAAGTCTCCTGTATTTCCATTGTTGTAGTTTTTATCATAATCTGCTGTTTTTCCTGATATTGTTCGATTTGGTGTCTTCTTGTAATGCAATGTTTGATGGTCTCTTCTATCTTTGTTGTGGTCTTTCGTTTTAGTGTTTCTCAATTTCCATTGGGTTCTTTCTTCGTTTGAGCGTCTCTTTAATTTCTGTTTGAGTGTCTCTTAAATTTCTAATGTCCTTTTTGTTGTCCCAATTTCCTTTCAAATCTTGTTTTTTTCTCTCTCAGTTTCTGTCCTTTTTGGGCCTCCTTAATATCTGTTATTTCATTTCAGCGTCTCTTTGACTTTTGCTATAGTCTTTCACTCAGGTACCTTCTTGATTCCTAAAGTTTGGTATTTGGCTATGTTTTCATTGTAATTTTTCATTTTCCTAGTGTTTCCTCTGGTTCAATGTTTCCTTTCCTATCGACCAGTTCTGAAGTTTAAAATTGTTTGCATGTTACCATTTGTGTTCCTGTAACAGAGACCCATATCACCAACTTAGATATCTCAGCTTTCACTTGATTTTCCAAATTATACTGTTACCCTCTCACCTCCCTCCACACCCACAAAAGGAAGGAATTTTTTAACTTCATGTAAAAACCAAATTGATTTATTTCCAATAATGGGTCCTACCCACCTGCAGAACCTTTATTTACATGAAATTGAGTCTCCTATTGGGCCTTAACCCTCAGGCCCTAGGCCCAAACCTTATTCACTAAAGATGATTCTGGACAGGGTAAAACTAATAAATTAATCCCAACAAAAGGATTAAACCAAACTAGGGATCTTTACCCAAGGATGCTTCACACAAACTCTGGACTAGATCCTTCCTACCAAAGGATTTCCTGGTAGTCCACATAGAGTTCCCATAAAGATCAGTTCCGCCAATTATACAATTATGAATAAAATTCACCAGGGAGGTGGGGAATCGGGATCAAGTCATCTGAACGATTCTGAATCACCATTACCTGCCATTATCTGGGGACATTTCCTGCCAGGTTTGAGTAAAATCCAATCAATGGTGAAGAAGTCATTTTAAGAAATTGTTGATGACGAGAAGGTATGGCATAAGTCTGGGCTAAGTGAGCTAATGATGGAATAGTTGAACATTACTTGAAAAGAAAATCAAACACATGCTATACAATGATTTAGTGACTTTTGTAGGTTTTATTTACTTCAATCTTACATAACCATACAACATGAATCAATACATAATCTCTCACATAAGCAGTACACATGATACTAGTTCGTCAACAAAGGGAATCACCAATGTATTGCAGTTTTATATGTAAATAACAAGACAGGTAAAATCAATAAAACATATCCCCGAAACACCTCACCAAACCAGATTATATACCAGGTACAGAGTACTTTCCTGTGGTGTCTATATCACAGACCATATATAAAAAGGTGTCATTGAAATTATACCCCCCCCTCCCACCCCCAAATATCGCTGTGGAAATTTTAACTTTAGAAATATTTGCTGACATGTGGGATATTTTCAAGCAGGCAAGAAATATGGAATATTTAAGAAGCAGGTGAGAAATTATGCAACAAAATACTGCAATTTGATATGAAAAATGGCATGAAAAATAACCCCCCCCCTCCCCCCGCCCTAAAATTAAAATTAAGCATTCAAAACAAACTGTCACAAGACATGAAAACTTTCTGGAATGAAGTCCACATATCAATCGTGCTTTGAATTGTCCTTGGCGTATCCATCCAAATCCAATTATATCTAAATATAGTTATAAATATATCTGGGCACTGTGTATGAAAAGTCTACCGAGACACAAGTTTGACAGTCAATTTAACAAATTACACTTAATTTTCTCACAATTATATCAATAAATAGTATAGGAGTGAATCTAAATGACTAGAACTTAAATTGTTTGATACATTATGCAAGGTTATTTTACATTCAGGTCACATATGTTGGTGTAATTCATATACGTTTCTGGATATTTCAATATGATTATGTGAATACCTGATTTCTTTTAAATCATCAATACACTGTATATAACAAAATATTAATAATTTGAAACAATTTTTATCTAGAAATAGCATCAATTGATGTATATCTAAAATTTTCCAAATGAGACAGAATTTATAAATACATTACACAGAGCTGTATATCATCTTCATCTAAAACAACGCCTTAAAACAAAAGTGAATACATATTAGTATTGTTTAGTTCCAGTACTTGCCTACTTATCAACCAAACGATGAAATATTCTGTAATATTGCATGTTTTTGTGGGGACAGAATTTCATGTGTGTGTGTGTTTTTGTTTTCTTCAATTTTCTTTTTTCTTGACATTTGTTGTAATGGGTAAGTAATCCCAGAAATTCCGCAAATATCAAAACTTTTGTCATTTTCAAGAATTGATAATTTCTTGATTGTATTGATATGTGGATTAAAAAAAAAAAAAAAAATACCCCCTAGAGAAAATTCACCTTTTTTAATAACATGCAGTACAGAAGCTCCTTTATGGCAACAGACAGCTAATATTACCTGCAGAGATACCAGGTAGGTTCACAAGGATTATACCAAATACCTTCCCTCTCTACCTGTTGATGTGATCATGCATGATATTATAATAACCCTGTCTTTCTTTTTCTGTCTCTTCAATTTACCTCTCTCTTTTTCCATTATTTCCTGGATTATTTCAAATTACAGTTAACAAACTTTACTGTCCATGTATGTACATTTTCTATACCTACTCTTTACACTAACTTTCCTATTTCATATCTCTATCAACACGACCCCTGTGTATTTTAAACATCATCTTCTATGGGATAACCTTTCTCTGGTTAAATAGTTAAGAAAGTAAAAACTACAAAATCATGTGTCACATGAGTTACAATTATGCCATAAATTTAACATTATAATATAAAGAATGCCATAGCATTAACCACATATAAACAGAACACTTTCGTTTGGTCCATTTCCAATGAAATCAAAATTAGAGTATGTGTGAACAGAGGTGGAGGGTGAAATACATAACAATATAAATGTTTTCTCCTGTGTTGTTATACAATGACATAACAAGGTAATCAAGACATACAAGTTGCACCTACAATGATGTGGAGACATTCACTACGCCAGGGAAGTACATCATTATCCTCACCACAAACATCCTCCCAACATGGTGAATATGAAAAGCCTGTTTCAGGTAATGTCATTTATTATAAACAGCAGGAAGATCTCGTACAATATTTCTTTATCAACAGCTGTGTAATAGTGGGGTAGAAATTGAAACAGCTTTCCTACAGATATCGTGTATAAGCAGTTGTAAAACTAGTAATTAATATCATAAATGAGTGGAAATTATAGGTGGATTAATATAATGGGATTACCCCGATCCTCCTCCATCTGAGATACAGAAACCAGGACAGAGATACATAACAGACAAATGATGAGGTGGACATAAAAGATCATAACATATCATACTCACACAGCTGTAACTTAATATAACTTTTTATCAAGACTTAGGAATTCCTGCATGCTCTAATCAATCCAACTTTTCCCTCAAAAAATCCTG